AGCAAGCAACAATACCAGTAAGAAATACTGAGAGGACAAATATGATTTATGTTTACAGCACTTTTTTTTGTTGTTTTTGAAGGACAAATGATCTACTGTCTGTTAGCAGTCCTTCTTGATGCCCAGGATGCTCTCTGAAAAGTTAACTATCTTGGTTTGACAGGTCATTCACAAGTGTCCTTGTTTGATGCAGCTGATTAATAAGATCAAACCTCAAAATGTTTATGCTTGCATACCTAAGGTCAAATCTGTAGCAAGTGTTCCACAGAGTGCCAAGTTCTGCTTCAAGAATCTGAGCAGTAATACAAATTTTTAAAGTTAGCAAAACATAATAATCTTATCAGTTTTAAACAGATGGAGGTTTGGAAGAAAAAGAAACTTGTTTCCACATGCCTATTTCTTACAGTTAAGACTTAAAGTTCATTTTTACATCTGTGTGATTATTCAACTGACACAGAAAGCATTTCTGATAATACATAAAAGGGAAAACTGACCACATTCTCATTCTTTAAATGTGCTTATAAAGATGCAAAAATGCTATGCAAACTTTTGTTTTACCTTTTTAAATCTCTTCTGATTGTAGGGAGACTGTTTGTAGTGGTATCCAGCCCTTCTAAAATCCAAACCTCTCAAGTCTCACATGGGAGTTGGACGTCCTGAGATCTTTGCCCCAAAGATCTTTCACTAAAGATCCAAATTCTTTAGTTATTCATTCTGCCTATGCTGTTGAAGTTAACCAATTGAAGCAACAAAAGAGCAGAAAGAATATAGCTTCCACAGGAGTCCATGGTGAAAAAAGAAGCCTAAGTTTAGGATGTATCTAAGTAGGAGAATGTTCTTTTTCTGACCTTCCTTTGCTTAAAACTCATATCTTAGTATGTATGCTCTAAAAAAATCTGAATGTCTTGGATTCCTATGTACAGCTCCTATCACAGTGGAAGCATTTTTGATAACTGGTGTTATCTTGTGGAATCTGTTCCAGGTTAATGTTGGAGACAGTGAATCATGTTAGTTTTGTATATACATCTATGATAAATTCATCGTGGTAAATATGATTCTTCATTGTCTTGTCATGATTAATACACTTTCAATGGCATGTTCAGGAGATAAGTGTTACATGATATAACTGGTACATTATAGTAATCTGGTGACCTATATAATGTTTTGATTTATATTTTGTTTGCTTTTGCACCCACATAGGAGTCACTTCTGTGAAGATCTGCGTGAAGATTTTTTTTTCAAGTGATTTTAGTTAGAAATAAAATTAAATTTGATGGACACAAGTATGTTCTGTGATTTAGTGTACT